ATTACTACTTTAATACACGTTTTAATGACAAATCCCATTCTCTCTATATTCATTACCAGTTCAACACATATGATAATGACACAAATCTTTTTTCTGTTCATTACTACTTTAATACACGTTTTAATGACAAATCCCATTCTCTCTATATTCATTACTAGTTCAACACATATGATACTGACACAAATCCCATTCTCTCTATATTCATTACTAGTTCAACACATATGATGCTGACACAAATCCCATTCTCTTCATTCATTATTACTTAAATACACATAATACTAACATTAAACCCTTGCTTTAAATTCATCACTGATGTACCGTATGTAAAACTGCTGTATATCAAACAATCTTTATCTCTGGTAGCACTAGCGGTAAAATCGTCGTCCGTAAATGTCTGATTAATGTCAATAATGTTTGTTCTTCAGCGTCTGTATTTGCACTATTGGTTAACTAAACTTCCTTAATGAATTATGCGTTAATTAACTTTTTCTACCAGCTGACTTTTGATTTAGTATGGTTAGGACAGTAAGTCAAGACTCAGCTCGAACGTTATTAATAAGTTCACCATTACAACGAAATTAAGGTATCAAGTTTTGAAACGCTTAGCGTTGTGTCTTTACAAATTTATTGATTTATTGTCTACGTCATAGACCTACCATCAAATTGGATTTAGCAGAAGCCTTAAAAGAAAGCTGGAAGTTATAGGTTCATTGTGACGTACATACTAAGGCCTTGGAGTTTTAATCTCCCAGTGCTTAATCTTGTTCCAGTCTATATTCATAATTACTTAACTCGGACGCTGTAATAAGTTAATCTTATGGGATTAAGTCTTGTTTGCACTTATGAATTTTGGAATGGCAGTGTGGAAATAATCTATAAAAAACATTAGTTTATATGATTAAAATTCCCTTGGAAATATGAAGGTCAAGAGATAGTACGTAGAATAATCCTCAAAATAAAATACTAATGCGTTTAATGTTGTAAAGGTAAAGCGTCGTTTCTGGTTTAAAAGGGTCATCGAACGTAGCGGATCCTAGGGCAAAAATGCAAGAGTATTGTGTATCAAAATTTAAGTTACGATTTAAAAAAAATTACATGGAATCGTTTTAATGTAATTTTGAGGTGTCTCTACTTAAAATGACACTTCAAATAAGGATAATATAGCGTTTTTGTCATTATAGGCAATTCTTTAAAAAACCATATTATTTTTGATAGAACATTCGAGTTTTGTTTGAAATTATTATTGAAGTTTCAGCTGATACACCTACTTGGTACTAAACTCTATTTACATAAAATATTGCTTCTCGCATAATATCTTGTTTTGCGTATTGTATAGAAGATTTACATCCATGACTCCTGGTTGTTGTTAATAAATATGAAGGAATTTTTTTTTGTTCTTGACTCCAGATTGATATTGATGATGGGCAAGGAAATTTGATACCTTTGATTCCTAGTTGATGTTGATATAGATTAAGGATATTTTATATCTTTGACTCCTCGTTGATGTTAATACAGATTAAGGAAATTTAATATTTTTGACTTCCTGTTGTTGTTGATATACATTAGGGTAATTTGATATATTTGACTTCCTGTTGT